GTTTTTCCACTAGGAGCTGGAGCTGCAGTCCGTTCAATCACTGAAGAGCTTGGAATCGCTTCAGTTTAAAATACTTTTCCGCTGTGGTTTGGAAATTTAAAAAAAAAAAATATTTGGGTCATGTTAACCTAGTGTATACGACTTGTGCTGAGATTTTCAGTTTACCTCGTCTACATCTGCTGAGCTCCATAAATATCCGTGTGTTCGTTCCTGTTCGGTTTTGCAGAGCTCCTGCCTGCCTAGAAGGCAGAGCTGCCCAAACCCAGATTTGAAATGGGGTGAGTCTGACTAGAAGTGGGGTCCTGGGAGCTGAGCAGCAAGGAGCCAAGCCACTGTCTAACGCAGCCGCCACTCCCTGCCCAGGATGCAAGGGGATGTGGCTGGTGCCATTGGGAAGCTGCGTGGATGGACTTTCCATCACGTTGCTCCTAACGGAGGCTGCCGAAACATCGGCCTCAGTTACTAAGAGGTCACTTGAGGTTTTGACAGCCAGATGTGGGTGTGAGTTCTTCATGTACAGCGTCTGGTTGCATCCCACCTGTGGTCCTTGCGCGGGAGGATGGATGTGGTTACGCGTTTCCCTCTGCAGAGCCGTTCCTTGCCCCACTGAGAAAAGCCTGATGAGGAGGAGGAGCTACAGTGACGTAAAGAAATGCTCCCTGTGTTACCTAGGCGTTGCTGGTCCCCGTCCTCTTGCACAGCAATGGCAGCACAGCAACCTCAAATGGTCTGTGCTGGCCCAGGGTTAGGTCCTGGAGGTGGCTGCTCTTGCGTGAAGGCTTCCTCCATAGCAGGATTGCACTAACACTCCGTGAAAGGCAAGCGAGTGCCATGCCTGGGAAGAGTGAGCTAATTTTTCCAAATGGCACAACTTTGCGAATGACAACTGTGACTTCTGCCTGGGCTGTGGTGTGAAACCTGAGGGATGGCTGTGAGCAGCAACTGCCGGAGGGAGAAGAGCTGAGCTCTGAAGTTCCTGGGTAGTGTTGTAGCTGTGGCGTCCTCATCTCTCTCCTCCTCCTCCTCGCAGGTGTTGGGAGGGCTCTTGGTGACACAGTTATGAGAAAGGAAAGGGTTACGCCTGGGTAACACCTTGCTTATTTCTGGGGTTTAAATATCCACCTGCGGTCTGATCGTCTCCAGACTTCAGGAATTTTGATGTAACCAGCTTGAACGCTGGCTTCTCCTTTAGTAGTTTGCTGGGGGACTCCGGAGCCAGCCTGGGGGTGGGTTGGAGCTGCAGGACAGGCTAGTTGTTTCTCCTGACAGGTGGCTTGTGGACATCTGAGTTAGAAAATGCCCAGCTGAAAGACTCTGGCTGCTCTTACAGAACTAGAAGAGTTTGCAAAGCTCCTTTTGGTCGAGTAAGTTTAGAGATCAAAGAATTCTCCAACTTGTTTAAAGATTCTTCTGTCGAGGCCTTAATGGTCTTATCTTAATAGCAAAGTTGCCTGCAGTGGAGCTCCTGCTAAAGGCTTGATCCTTCATAGCTATTGCGGAGCCCCGGGATGTTTTGTGCATCCATGCTCCTCCCAGCCGGTGGGGTTTACCAGCTCCAATGGGGAGATTGCTTCCCAGCTGGTGAGTTTGGAAGTGCTACTGGTGTGGAGCTCACAGACTCCCAGAAGACATTTCTAGGGTCTATTTTAATTTAAATCAGAGGCACAATGTCCTGCAGCACTAATACAAGGTCCTTGCTCCAGTGTTTTGTCCCCGTTTGATGGGTAAGTGGGATTAAGAAGGAGATGTGCTCATAGTGCCTGTGAACATTTGTGGCACCTTCCTGTGCCCTTTCTGGGGCAGGTGTGAACACTCGGCTGCTTTTGCAACCTGGATCAAGGAGACATCCACTGGGAAGCATCCGTGGTAAAAGTAGGGGAGGCTGTTCTGGGGCAGGGAGGAGGTGACGTTGTTCTTGGGACAAAGCTGGGCTGCGATGGGGCATAATGAGTTCGTAGCTACAAGGATGTTATTTAATTATTTCTTTTCCATGGTTTTCAAGTCCTGGCACTGTCACTTTCCTGGCAGCAAATCAAACACCAAGTTAGCTTATGTTAAGAAACAGAAGATGAAGTCCTAGATAAGCACTCGGCTGTAGGAACGTTTCAAATTGAAACGTGCAGGGGGGACGTGGAGGAGAGTGTATTTTTGCTCTCAGCACCATCCAGACCCTGTATCCAAGGCCAGGGTTGTGTTTCTCTCTGCTGGAGTGCTGGTATTGCCTGCCCCATGTACTTTCAGGATGCGAGATTAATGGAGAGGAGGGTACGGTGACAGCTGTCCTTCTCTAGGGTGACCTGTAGCCTCTTGGTGACTGTGGCATCAGGGTTTTATGTGGACCAGGAGTGATTGCATCGATGGATGATGGAGTAACCACACCATAACCTGCCTTTTAACTAAAAAAAAACGATACCTGTGGCTGCTGAGCTGGCATGCTCAGCACCCATGGGGCTGGGGTGCAGGCCTGGCTGCCGAGCAGGGCACAGTGTGGTAGCTGCAGCCTGACCTCCCGTTAATGTAAACATTCCCAAATAATGCATCTGTTCCTGCCAGTTCCTGTCTCTCCCCTTCTCACCGTGCTTAATTGCTGACTAAGCTTTTGATAAATGTTTTGTATAAAGTTCCTCGTTTATCTGAAATAGACCTGCTGCCACCACAGCTAAAATCTAAACTGACACTTGACTTAGGACTCCAGTGCCAGATGAACTTGGCAGTTGCCAATGTGCTGAA